CTAGCCAGCAAATTTATCTGAGGGCAGGAATAAAAGGTGATGGAAGTTTTGCTGCTGCTTAGAAGCACTTTTACCTTTTGAGGGAAAGCAAGGAAAAAGGAAGGAAAAGGGAAGTGGAGGATAAATTAATGGGATTTCCCTTCCAGCAGCAGGTTCTGGAAGGAGCCAGGACAGGAATCCCTGGGAGTGGAAGCTCGGGGAAGGATTTGTTGCTCTTGGAGATGAAGCTGAAGTCTGTTACCAGTTCTGGGAGTAGAAACAAGAAAGGGTGGAGGCCAAAAGCTGCTCCAGGAGGATTTTCCCTTAGGCTGCACCCTGGGGCTGAGCCAAAGCCCGGACCAGGAGCATTCCTTCATTTCCAGTCCAAGGGTTCTGCCTCAGCCCTGGTGGCATTTTTGGGCTGGATTTGGAGCACACCTCTCCTGTTCTGTCCCTTCCACCAGGATCTGGTGCCAGCAGATTCCCTGGAGCCTGCAGGGGGGTGGTGTGAACACGCCAGGAAGTTTTCCACACTCCCACCTGGGAATAACCCATCCTTAAGAAAATTCCCATTCTTTTTTTTTTGGGAAATGAGGAGTGCAGTGCTCCTCCTGCAGGAAAAAGCTTGTTGAAATCTGTCCTGGGGGTTAAGATGGGTCTTAAAAACATCCCAGTGGGGAATTCCAGCCTGAAAGCATTGCAGGGAAGGAAGGAGGGGACAGGGAGGCCTGGAGGGGCACATCCCTGCCAGGGAAATCCCGGGGTGCTGCCAGAAGTTCCTTTGCCTGGTTTGCAGGGTGGGTTTTGGCAGAATTCCCTCTCACAGAGGATTCCCGAGGGGTGTGCGGCGATGTGGGACCTGTCCCTGCGCTTCCTGAGGCACCTGCAGGCTCTGGAGCAGAGGGAAGATTATTTTAATTAACTCTCTGTAAGGCTTATCTCTAACTAAAATCTTAGCTCCTCTAAAATCTCTAAATTCCTTAAAATTTACCTTTCAGAAGGTGCAGGAGTGCTCCTGCCATCCCTGCAGCCTGAAAGGAGCAACAAGAACTGATCTCACGTTTTCGTTTTCCTCCTCAAAGTCCACAGTGAGGAGAAGTCTCCTGCGAGCCAGAAATGAGGTCTAGAGGTGCTTAAGTGTATTTTGTTTAAGAGAGCAGACAAGCTCAAATAAGATGTTCAGAATTAATGGTACAGCTCTCCTGATAATTTGAGGAGAGGTTTGGATGAAAAGTTAAAAGTACAGGTGAAGTGAATAATAATACACAGGGAGGTGGAGAACTGCTGAGAGGAGTCCCTGAGTTCTCGTGAGAGGGAAACGAGTCAGAATTGGCAGGATATCAGTGAAATAAAGGCTGGGACGGAAAAGGAAAAGGCTGGGAGGGAAAAAGAAAAGGCTGGGCTGGGGATGGGGCTCAGAGTGAAATTTGGGCTGGCCTCAGTTCTGTGCTCTCAACAATTCTGGTTGAACTGAGCGTCCACAGGGCCAAATCCAGTTGTGGATCATGGAATTCCAGAATGGTTTGGGTTGGGAAGGGCCTAAATCTCAAACAGTGTCACCTCATCCATGGGCAGGGACACATTCCATTGTCCCAGCTGCTCCAGCCTGTCCTGGAGCATTCCAGGGATGATCCAGGTGTGCTCTTCTCCTTGGATTTTGTGACTTGACTCATTTATCCATGGAAAAGCTACTGGGATCTCCCCTTGGCTCCTCCATCCATGGAAAAGCTGCTGGGATCTCCCCTTGGCTCCTTCCATCCATGGAAAAGCTGCTGGGATCTCCCCTTGGCTCCTCCATCCCTGGAGATGCTTCTGGGATTTCCCCTTGGCTCCTCCATCCATGGAAAAGCTGCTGGGATCTCCCCTTGGCTCCTCCATCCATGGAAAAGCTGCTGGGATCTCCACTCCTCCTCCTCCCAGCCACTCCAGTGGTCTTACTTTGGGTTAAATGCAGCCAGGAAAGAAAAGGTGGAGGATTTGAGCTCCAGGAAGAGGAAATTTCAGGGAGATTCACCCAAAATTTGTGTTGGAGGCTCCAGGAGAAGCCAGGACCCAGCCTGGCGGATGTTAGGGGTTATCAGCAGAGATCCAAGGGGGTGTCAGAACAGAGATTAAATGAGCAGAGAGGTTAAATAAAGCAACTAAAGCAGTTCAAGGAGGAAAATAAAAGGAAGATAAAACATCCCCAGTGATGTCCTTTGCTTTTATTTGGAGTTTGACTGCACCCTGATTCTGGGCAGCACCAGGAAACCGGGGTGCCTTCTAATTCATGTTTAAATCCATCATCTCCACATATTTCACTCGGAATAACAGGATTTCAGATGGAATTCATGACTTTGACTCCTGCACTGGGCTTGCAGCACCCACACCAGGAATTCTCATTGTATTTGGCTCCATTTAAGAACTAATGGCCAAATTGATGACCATCAAATTTCAGGGTGCTCAAAATCCATGTGCAAACATCTCCTCCTGCTCCTCCTGTGCTTCTGCCTCACTTTGTGACACCTTATTGATTTTTTTTTCCCCTTCCTTTTCTTTCTCTCTGCGTGGAAACAAATTAAAGCAGGAATTGGGATTGTAAATAGGTAATGGGACGTGAATGCAGAGTAATCAGTGCCAGCCGTGTACAGCCATACTAATTGTGCCAGGAGAGGGAATGGGATAAATATTTAATGCCTGGATTCAGTGGGAAGTGAGAGAGCAAGGAAAGAAATAGAGTTGAGAAGGGCTCACTTCAGTGCTTTTTCTCAAAAAGAGGAGTTTTGATGGCATTAACCCCTCCCTGTTTTGAATAAAGGAATTGTGTTTAATGTGGAGGCTTCGGTGTCGCACAAGGGAAAAACATCCCAGGTTTGGGATGAATCCAGCCTTCAAGGATGTGCTGATCAAAACTCAAAACAGGGATGGGGGACAGAAGCTGAGCCTCATTCAGGCAGCTTTGGTTCATTGTTGTCTATGTTTTATCTCAGGCAATTGAATTACAGCTGTGAAAGGGAAATTTGACTCTGCAGAGCTGAAGATTATTTCTGAGGGGTTTGCTGCTGCAGAATGAACAATGAAATGGCCCTTGGGGGGTGAGAGCATTAAATTTAAGGGTGTTGTCATAACAACCAGCCAGGGGAACTTCCTCAGGATGGGCTTGAGGCATCCCATGTTTGGTCTCAGCCTCAAATCTGTGTTTGAAGTCGGTTCTTTGAGGAAGTTTCCAATTCATTGGGTTCAGCTGCCTTTGAGTTCCTCAAGGATGGCAAAAAGCCACAGAGGATCCATTTCTGCTCCACCTCGTCCTCCTGAAAGGGCTGGGGAGCAGGGATGGAGCCAATCCATGGAGAAATGACTGGGAACGACCCTAAAGCCCAGCTTTAAATCCGCCCAGAGCGCTGCAGGATCCAGGCACGGGATAATCCAGGGTTTGGATTTGTACTGTAGGTGGCAGAGATGCTTTAGTTTATGCACTAATCACCCTGCCAGCTCATTAACGGGCTGGGAGCACAGGGCAGCCCCTCTGCCATTAATTAACGCTGCCAATTCCAGCCTGGCTCCCACTTGGAGGAGCTGAGGTCACCTCTGGATGGGCTGGGTGACTGAAGGACTCTTCAGATGCTCCATGGGCTGTCAGATCTGCTGCTAAAAAATGTTTAATAATCAAATGTGAATTACCCTCCAGATGGAACAGATTCCCAGGATCTTTTTACCTTCATTTTAAAAAAGCAGGGGGTGCTGGAATGTCAAAAATGGATGTTGGAATGCCAAAAATGGGTGTTGAAATGGCAATAAAAGGTGTTGGATTTCACTGAAAGGTGTTGGAATGCCAATGAAAGGTGTTGGAATGCCAATGTAAGGTGTTGGAATTGCAGTAATTTTAAAATAAGTGATAACTAGGGATTAAAATAATTAACTTTCATTAACAGGAGCAGGGTTGCATGAAAGCTCTGGTGTCTCCAGTGGTGAATGTCACCGTTGTGGACCTCAGTCTGAGTTGAAGTGTTCCAGTCTAAAACTTGGTTTGGGACAAAACTCAGCCAGGAATTGTGAGCTGGAGTTAAATGAAGCAAACAACATCATATTTTAAAAGGAAATAAAATGATGAACAGATAGGAAGGGCTGCTGCTGGGCCCTGGAGCTGCCCACCTCTGTTGCTGCCTGGAATCTTCCTCAAGCTGGGATTTGAGACAGAGTAAAAATTCAACAGGGTAGAAATCCATTTAGATTTAGGTGAAATATGCCACTTTAAGCTTGCTAAATATACTGTTTAGTCTGGTGACTGCAGGCCTAGCAAAACTACCCCAGCTAAAGGAAAAGAATGCAAAATTCCACACAAAAAGATCAGAAATAAAAAAAAAAACTCTCCAGACCTTGAAACGAACAGGACAGAGTGACCCAAGAGTTCTTTCTGTACTTTCCAACAAAAACTGAGTACAAGTGTAACTAGCTGTAAGTGTAATGGAAATCAGCAAAATAAATAGGCATTAACCTATTATAAAATTCTATGCATATAGAAATTAGTAAAAATAATAAAAAAAGATCAAAAGTTCTCAAAAGTACGCGTGTCCATCAAAAAACAATAAGTCCCAACATACATCCACAGCACTGTGAATAAACATACACATCCCCTACAAATCTTTATTAAAATTATAAAGTTTAATTTTTCCTCCATGTTTCAGATTGTTCACAAATAAAATAAAAAATAAAGAGGTTCTTGCCATCCTTTCCCTTCTTGAGTTAAACAGGTTTTAGTGATGAATGAAATGTGAAGAGAGGAACTGAACAAGCTTGGGAATGTTCTGTGCCTGAGGAAAAAGGAATGGGAGCCTCTGCAATTCCAAACACGGAGCTCTCAGAGGGGAATCCCAGCAGGAATGCGGGGCTGGAAACAGCCCTGGAGTGGGGAAGGTGCTGGGTTGGCTGTGTGGTACCCACGGAGGGGTTCCCAAGCTCCTGGGGGAGGAGGGTGGCCCGGAGAGCCGCGTTTGGGGTGCTCCTCCCAGGCTGACGTGGCTGTGCTCCTTGCTCTCCTGCAGGTTCACCGGGATGAATTTGCCAGCCCCTGTGATCAGCAGCAAAAATTGGCTGCGGCTGCACTTCACCTCCGATGGCAACCACAGGCAGAAGGGCTTCAGTGCCCAGTACCAAGGTAAGGAGACAGAAATTAATGTCCTTGCCTGGCCTCACCCACCCCAGCTCTGCCTCCCTGCATGGTCCTGCTGCTGTTCATCTTCCAGCTGGACTCCCCCAAAGCCTGGGTTGTGATGTGGCAAGCACAATTCTCTCCCTCGCAGGATTTTCACAGAGGTGCACAGAGAGAAATGAAAGAGAAAACAATTTCTGTTTCTGGTCCTTGTTTTTCCCATGTGGAATGTGTTTGGAGAATTGTTTACCTGGGGTGAGTGCTGGGTTGGATTCCGGTGAGGATTGTTTGAGCCTGATGGCAAATCCAACCCACCTGGAACTCTCAGAGAGGGTCACGAGTTGTGTTAGAGTCAGAGAAAGTAGTGTTTAGTTTTAGTATCCTCCTTTTATATAGTATATTAATGTATTTTAGCATAGTTATAATAAAGAAATCATTCAGCCTTCTGAATTGAGTCAGACATCCTCATTTCTTCCCATTGGGTTCGCCTGCATTTACAATATTGTGACATTCTCTGGACAGACAGACAGAATTCTGTCCCTCAGGAGAAGCACAGGGAGAAGAAGAGGAAACAATCTTTATCTCTGCTCCTTTGTTCTCCCCATGTGCAATGTGGTGTGGAGATTGTTCACCTGCAGGGATGGCTGGGGTGGATTCTGGTGAAGTTGTTTGGGGTCAGTGACCAATTGAATGATTTTCTTTGCCTCCCCCTGGCCCTGCAGCCACCTCAGGGACTTTAATTATTTTATGGTTTCTACTGGAGACAGCGGCACTTTTGATGGGAGGGATTCCTGTGCCGTGTGCCAGGATTGTGTGGATGCAATTCCATGGGCACATCCACACC